AACATATATAAATCGACTCAGTTTTTAACGCTGATTCTAAATCTGATATTAGTTTTGAACTAAGTCATAGCTTTCTAACGAAACATCGCCTGAAAAACGTCTCAAAATGCACAGAAACTGCATCCAGAAATATAATTGTCTAGTTTCTCATGATAATTTTGGTGTTCAGATATTCTAGAATGACTCATATGTCTCATGTACTTTTTGCAGTACACATAACTCTCGGATGAAATCCGAAGTCTCCACATTTATTTTCTTTTCTAATTTAACTTACAGAAGTACTTGTAGACGACCTTCAAATGGTATCCGTTTAAATGATTCGATATCAATATATTCTTGATATTGTTCATTCCATATTTGAATAACTAAAGTTGTTTTTATTATCTGTTGTAATTGAAATTCTTGAACTGAAAAACCAAATTAAAAAATTTATTTTTGAAATTAAAAAAAAATAACTAATTCAACTTATTAAATATTTAAGATTTTGATGTGAAATTCCATTTTGTTGATGATAATATTCACTTGTAATTGGTATTTCAATTAAACGATTTCGTTGACGAAATCGACATAAATAAATCATTGATGTTAATTCCACAGATGATCTAATTCGTATAGAATCTTAATTATTGATCAAATCAATATTATAAATTGAAATTATCGAACGAAAAAAAGGAAAAACAGGCATCGGTCACTTTTAATTCCTCGTCTATTTTCTGATAGTTAATAAATGATATCGCTTACCGTGATGAAAATGATGTTTTAAGAAAAACTGTCGTTTTTTTATTCATCATTATTCAATGTTGAATCGAGATGGATTGAGAGTGCGCATTTTTTTCACGTAGAAAAAATAAAAATGACGTATATAAACGAAATAACAAATAAAGTATCTTTTATCCTTTTGACGGTATCGCTCGTGTCGTTGGCACATATATTTGGCAATTTAATACATCAGACATCGCCTGTGCTATATGAGAGTATAGGTAGAACTTTGTGCCAGAATAAAACCATAAGCGATGATGAGAGAATAATATGTTTTGTTTTTATTCAAATCGACCGTTACATGATTAAACAATACTAAAGTTAATCTTTGAGTTATACAGAAATAAATCTGTATCTATACGATGTTCTATTTCAAATATTATCACTTGTCCGTATCACTTCGAAATATCAGATTACATTTCTCTCATAGAATATTTTCATTTTTACCATCAAATAATTCATTTAGTTTTTCTTCTTAGAAAAGATTTTTTATTTTTAACAAAAACAAAAAAAAACAACAATCATGTTTTTCTTTCCACGTATTATTTTTCTGGCAGTTGGTTGTTGTCCGCTGTTTGAAGATATGCTAAAGCATTCTGTTGGCACGATCGTAGAACATGTGTATCCGATTGAAATTTACCATTTAGAATTTCTTCGCATTGTTGTCGAACATGTTTATCCGATGTTTTTTTCAATAAAATTAATTCGTACAATGTTGCATTTTGTGAATTACAATATTCGGGATCATCTAAATCCCAAAGATATCTTATGCCCGAGCCAGAAAATTCATTATCATATAATTGCTCAGTAACTAACGGTGATATTGTTAATAATGCTTTTATCATAACTAAAATAGCACTAACTGATTTACTTGATTGTAAATGTAATACCATTGTTAATAGGCGCTTGACAAAAGCAAGTAACTTATTTTTTGATAATTGTTTATAACGATCAAGTAACATCATTTGTATGAGTTTAACAACAAGATCAATATCTGTATCCGATGGACACGGTAAAAGTAATGAATAAAATAACGCATAAAATCGTTGTGGATCAATATGTATTAATACTTGTTGTCGATTTAATATGGAGAAGACTGTTATTAAACAATGAAATTTAGCACGTTGGTTTAAACCAGTTTTCTCAGACGATAATTCGTCATAATAACAGGCTATTAAATCATCCATATATTCAATATTAATTAGATTAGCAAATTTAGCTAAACCTTCACATACACTTGGCATCAAACGTAAATTGAGACGACGTTTTAATAAACGAAAATAATTAAGAAAAATTAATTCAACTATTTGACGATTTATTTTTATACGATGGTCTTGACGATTAGCTAAAGTTTTATTTTCAAGTAACTTATTTAATTCTTGTTTTTCTTTATGTTGACGACGATCACGGCGTGATAATTTTTGAGCTCGATAATCTGGTTTCGTTGCTTTTTCAATTTTTTTTTCTTCTATTGGAGATATTTCACGGATATTAAGTGACAGAAATACATTGAGTACACATGGTTCAACAGCGTATGAACGAGTTTTTAACAAGCGTGTAACAAAACGAACAACTTCAAGAGATAATTCACCTGCACGATCATCATGAAGAAGACTCGCAATACAACTGCAACATTCTTCCCGTACAGCCAAATCACTAGAAGTAAAATAATATTTATATTCATAGAAGATAAAAACTTCAAACAACGACATAGCTATTAAAACAAATGGTAAGACGACAACTTTAGGTCTTGAAATGCATATCGTTGAGTTTAATTTTCATTTAGAAATGAATCAATGTAATTTAGAACATTATATGAAGCATTTTAATAATCTCTATGTTTGTTGCCTGTCATTACAGAAGAAATGAAGCCAACTACTATTTATATCTGTCAGTTGATGTCGATGACGAAATTTGTTTTTTCTTTGAAGCTTTGATTTTTAGGATAATATTCACGTAAATTTTTAGAAAAATGACACCAATCCATCTCTAGTTCTTCGACATTTTTTTAAATTTAGAAACAATTCATAATCGTCTTCGTTTTGCATAAATATAAATTATATAGGGTTCAACCGAAAGAAAATTTCTTAAGAATTAAAGTTTCGTTGTAGTATATGCTGAATATGAAGTCGATCTTTTCAATGTTCTTACCTACTAGCCATAAATTGCACAACGACGTTCAGTAAATTCGTTCGAAAATTGAAATTATGTAAATGTGTTAATAATTTACATAAACATTGTATAGCTAAATGTCCAAGATTAAGCTTTGATGCTGGAATTGTTTTAAGTTGTTTATGTTTATTTTTTGCCAAATGATTTTCTGGAAGACTTTTTTTAGCGCATTGCTCAAGAAAATGAAGAAAATGTTGATAATGTTTAAGTAAAGTTTGTTCGAAATGTCGAATAACTTTAACATCTTTAGATAGATTTTCTTTATGTGAATATTTTTCTTTTTTCGAATTTTTAATTTCTTCATTATCATCTTTAGTTTGTTCTTTCAATGAACGTATACGATATCCAGGTACAATATCACGAAATAGTTCAACTAATGACAGCATTGTTAATTTTCTTACTGTCATTGATATTAATGGATCGCCAAGATTTAGCAATAGACGTAATTGTTTTAAATTTGATATTTCTTCATAAGGACTTTTCATGATTAAATCACATAAATTAACAATTGTTTGTTTGGTTTCATTCAATTTTCTATCACGTTCAGCGATCAATTCAATAATTGAAACAGGTTTCGATGGTTCAGAAGGAGCAGCAGATAGCATAGAATCCATTTTATCATCGGCGTCTTCTTCATCATCATCGTCGTCATCTTGAATTTCTTGTTGAACTACGACTGGTGCTGATTGAGCGATTAATTGTCCGCGATCAGTTTTAATTGGTAATAATGGCCGTTGTTGATTTGTCTTATTAAATGATGAGCGTGGTAAAAGTTCGTATGATTCAATAAGTTCATTATCCTCATCTTCATCATCTGTTGGAATATTAATTTGTTCAGGTTCTTCATCCGACAACATATCTAATGGTAAAATAAGATTATCATCATCGGCATCATATCCGTTCTTATCACTTTCCATCGTCAAGTTTTGTTGTTGTTGTTGTTGTTGTTGTTTTTTCGGTTGAGGCTTATTTTTTTGATAAACCGATGGATTCTTTTTTAATGGTACATTAAATTTTACTTTTCGATGAAATTTTTTTTCTTGTTTCGAAGCTTTGCCAACAGTGCCTTGTTTTTTCTTTTCACGTGTCATTTTTGAACGTGTTTTTGGTTTGGCAGCTTTTTTCGAAGGTTTAGCCATTTTAAATATCAATCTAAAAATGTTTTACACATTAACTGAATAGCTAGTCTAGTTTAGCCAAGAAGAAGAAGAAGAGAGGATAACGTTTTTATTGGTTGGTCGAAAGAATTAATCGAATACAGCGATCAATCCCTTTACAATACAAGTAGCTATGAGCGACATCTAATGAATATATTTATTAAAAATATTAAATAAAAACAATTTTTAACGTTCAATAGAAGCAAATGTTTTATGAGTTGCTGAATGCGGAGATAAAAAATCATGTGCTGCATAAGTCGAAGATCGGCGAGTTTCTTGAGTGCGTGTACGAGTTGTTATTAATTGTTGCTGTAGAACTTCGGGGTATAGATTTTTTCGGTGCATCAGAACTTAAATCAGTATTGACCAATTGTCTAGTTGGCATGTGTCTTATCCATTTGACAATGTAAATGATTAGGACAATCAATATCATGGAACCAATTATAATACCAACGATACCACTAATGGGAAAAGATGAAGTCGCCTTAAGTTGGTTTGTTGTTGTTGATACACTTGTAGTTGTAGTTATAACAGTTGTTGTTTTTGTTTGCGTTGTTTGTGTAGTTTGAGTGATTATTGTTTGTAATGTTGGTACCTATGTAAAATAAGACAATGAAAATTATCGTTGTTTATATTAAATAAACACTCACGGTTCGATTTGCTGAAGTCATCGTTGTTACTGTCTTATTTGCTTCTGATGGTGTATTAAATGCCCAAAATTGACTATCTATTATTCCCATCGAATCTCTTAAACAAGTTGATATAGGTAAAAATACGCCTGGATCCAGTGAAATATAGTAATATTCTCCGGGAATAAAAACAACGCTTGATAAAATTACGAAACGATCTGATTGATATATCACATTGGCTGTTTGTTTTGCTATATCATATGTAACAAAATCTTTTCCAGTTGAGTTTATTTGAAAGCGAACATACGCATCAGTATTCGGCCGTACAAATGTTGTTCCTGTAGGATAGATCAATGTCTAATTCGATTGATATTTTGATACAAGACCCATCGGAAAACGTGTTGCATTGCTAACATAAAGACTATTAAGACTATCTTGAGCTATTTGAACACTAAGACAGAGACATGTTGCATCACCTTGATTATCAATCGAGTCGACACCAGCAAAACAAAATAGATTTTGACCTACTTTATTGAGATTACCTGTATAATATACGTTAAAAGCATTAGTAGTTCGGTTATACGGGTCTGTATATGCTGCTGATTGCGTGAAGCCTGCTGGATAAAGACCAATTATACTAGTTAATGTCGCATTTGGACATTGAATCTGAATTCGAAGAACCATTGTGATCAATTGACCAGACACAAGAAAAATACATTGATCAGCAGGTACATCACCAATATAAAGTGGTGGTAAAGAGCATGTTATCTTCGAATCCCAAACATTCAAAGTAAACTGAATAGGTACATGTGAAAGAGGTGGCGTACTTGTATCGTTTTCAAAATCAAGCACAGTCAATGCTAGAGCATAGTAACCAATTGTAACTGGTCTGAAACGAAGAACACAACTAGCCTCATTGAGAAAAGTCGTGACAGGTAATGCAAGTGCATATCGACATACACCAGCACATTCTTGACTTGTATTTAACCAAATGCATGTATATCGATCAAAATCATTATCAGCAACATTTATTTTGATATTATACGTAGGAAAACGATGAAGTCGAATAATTGGTAGCATTGTAACAATAGGCGCTTGATTATATCGTCCACGCGGCCGTATATAAGTGTTAATTTCTGTTGCTACTGACCATGCTCCCCCATCAGTAACCAACGAAAACCATGCTGAGCTGTTAAATGCTGCTCGAAATAGAGAGCTAGACGGAACACGAAAAGTAAATCGCCCTTCGCCACTAACATAGCTTTCAATTTGATTAAAACCAGTACATGGAACAACTACTGTACCGATAGTACTAATATTCGATGAACCACCGGAAGGACAAATAATACTTTCAGAACCAATCATATAGCTTCCAGCAGTTATCTGACCAGTTGTGCATGGCCACCATGAATAATTCCATGCATGACGTTGAAGTGTTTCGACGGCAAGTGGATTCGATGTAGAGTTTTTTACACGCCGTGTAATCATCGATCCATGAAAATGAGAACATGACACAACAACGATCAAGACAAAGAAAGTTGGCACTGATGCGCTGATTGATTTCTTTTTAAAAAGTATTCAATATTACTCATGAAACGAACGGGTTTATATAATACGTTTTTTTATTTTGTATGCAAAAAGAAAAAAAAAGAACATGAGATTGCTGGAACCAGATTACTTCATAAACATTTTTATTAACAACGTGATTCGTATGGTTTCAATCATTGTTGTCAAAAAAGAAAATATTCTAATCAATGTTTATTTTTCATCCAGAAACTGCCTTATAAAAAAATCTACGGATGAAATTTGTAATTAAATTAAAAATCAACATCACGACCAATTCATTTGTACTGCCGGTTCGATACAATAGAAAAGAATTTGTTTACAGTATATCTCAGTAATAGTCCAATAGAAAAGCCATACAAACATCGTCTGAGTATCATCTCAAAAGCAAGTAATACTTTTCTGAAAACAAAACAGAATATTTCTTCATTGTATGAACGAATTGATAATTTCTACATTCAAAAGTGCATATCAATTTAATCAAAACATTAATTTGTTCGCGGGCAATAAATCTAGACTTGAAAATATTTCATCATATTTAGTGAATTGCATGTAAACAAGCTATGATTATCGTTGAACGGTTCACGAGAAAATATTTTCTAATTTGATATGAAAGCAATTTAAAAAATCGAGTATTTTCTTATTTTGTAAAGCTTTTATTTTTCTTTCAATGACACACAAATGTCGGCGAATAAGTTTTGCCTTTTCTGTTATTTTTTGGTGAACTATATATATATATATTTCTCACGTATTCCAGAGAGTTCTTTTTTTCTTATTTAAATAAGCTCGATTTACTAGAAAACAACTGAATTTCAACGGAAGGCATCAACAACAGCAGAAGAATTTATGTTCTTTGCGCCATAAATTTTAGTGCCATTCTTTTTCTTTTGTGTTTGATAAAGTCAAATAAAAATAATTGTAAAGAATTTATAGATTTTGGCCGATATAACATTCCCGTATGTCACTCGAGCATTCTCTATATTAAGAACTCTTTTAATAGTGTTTTCTCAAAGCAACAAACTGCCACTTGATTATGATTACATTAGTAACAAAAGAAATAAAAACCAAAATTTTGTCTTGCATTTCTTTGTGTAGCAAGTAGTCATTGATAATATGATGCCTTTCGTAAAACGACAAAAGAAAAGTGCGTAGAGAGTAACAATAGATAAGACAAATCTATCAAGTGTATGTGTGCTTCTTACACATAATCTTTAACATTACGGTTATATTTACTAACGTATATAGCAGAATGAATTGAGACAAAACATTATTCAACATTTTTTTTTCGTTGTTTCATTTTAATTTAATTCTTAAATTATAAGTCAACACATATTCGATTAAATAAAAAGATACATCAATGATGAATAAGTTCAAGAATGGTGAAACAATTTTTAATATTCATAATAATACTCCGGGTAAATTTGATATAGTTTTTCCATCATAACTATGTACAAGTATCAAAATGTTTTTCTTTTGTAATATAAAAGATGCTGTCTTATTCCGGATCGTTCAGCAATGAGTAAGATGCAGAGAGAAAAAGCAACAAAAATATTTTCTAAATTTCTGGTGCGCAAATGTCAGTTTCAAGGCCACCACCAACAAAAAAAGAAGCACTAAAGATTTGTATTTTTCTAAACACAAAAAAACAGAGATTCAGTTTGCAAATTCCTTTATTTTATTCTTCTCTTTCTCTTACCCTTCTTCCGAATGAGATGTGTGCATAAAGCATTCTTATATGATTTTCTTTCTTTTCTTTTTACGCTAAATCGCATAGAACTGAGCAACATTCTTTTGCGGTCTCCTCCCACTTCCAAATTCAACGCCAGCACTCAAGAATAGTTTACGATCTTTTCAAACACCGTCATTATCCTCTTTATACACCGGCAATTACATTTCAAAAACATCCACAAGCAACAACAACATGAATGCGTACTACTCTTCGAGACAGCGCTCCAAATCACAAGTAGACTTGAATCATTTTTGGAATCATTCAGATCCAATATCTTCATCGATGCTCGTTAAATCGGCATCGGCAATCATACAACCATTTATTTTTAATCAACAACGAAAAAAAGACAGATACGAATTGTCGAAACTCAATGATGAATTTGCTGACTACATTGAAAAAGTCCGATATTTAGAATCCTACAATAAAAAAATCGAAATGGATTTGAGTCTTCTTACTGAAAAACAAATTCAAGGTTCCAAAACGTTTCAAGCAATGTTTGAGAAAGAAATTGCACAATTAAAAGAAACGGCCGAAAAATTATTAAGAAACAAACCTACTTCAATTACTATTTCACAAAACGCACAGGTTGGCATTTGTTTCTATTAATAATTTTAATATAAACTCTAATACCATATTGTGTGATTCATATTTTTTTTCCACTTTAGAATTTAACTCTTCCAGTTAAAAGACAGCTCGTCGAAAGTTTAAAAGATCGCGATTCATCGCAATATGACACGGAAAAAATTGAAAGACAACTATCGTCTGTTGAGGGCGATATTCACATGTATAATCGTCGTCTCATCCATCAAGATAATGAACATCAAAAATGGAAACAATTTATTTCCCATATTCAACGTCTTACATTACAAGCAAAAAACGAAATTCATAATGAAATCTTAGCACGTGCATCTTGCGAAAAAACAGTATCACAATTACGTATCGAGATAAGTCAATTGAATGAACAACAACGAAAACGAGTGAACGATATTAAAAAAACATCCTATATTTTAACTTCGAATTCAACCAATGAACGTGCACTTACGTTTAGATCTGAATTATCTAATGGCATAAGAAGTATTCGGCAAGAGTTCGAAAACCAACATGATTCATTACGTAGTGAATTATATGAAAAATTCAAACAAACCTATGAGATTACAATTCGGCAAAATCCTGACTTTAACTCATTACTTTTAAATCAACTTGAACAGAAACGTATAAAACAAGAAGACACATACATACGTACTGAACTTCAAGATGTACGAAACAATACGGATTTATTAAACCTGAAAAATTCCGATTTAAGATTACGTATACGTGAATTACAAATCAAACTCGAACAGAGCAAAGAAGAAAATAAACGTATTTTACAAGCACAAGAAGATCTCATGAATAAAATGAAATTAAAACATGAAAATATGACAAAAGATTATGAAAATGTCCTAAGTAAACAATTATCATTGGAAAATGAAATTGCAACATACGGAAATTTATTAGATGGTATTATGAAACCCGTTGTCGATCATATTGTTGACGACTATAATCTAAAGGCTGCTAATAGTGCAAAACAACAATATCGAAATAGTTTAGTAACTCGAAGACCTGTTTCCATGAGCACTGATCTATTATCAGCAATGCCTCGTCGTGCGGATAGAAATGAAACTGATTCTTATGTTTCTTTTATGACGATCAATCTCAATAACAATCATTCAAGATCTCTGAGAGATATTTCAACAGCAACAACGAACAGAAATTTTGGGGATTTCTATCTTAAACCGTCTGATATTAATCACCAGATTGTGGAACGACAAGCATCGGTAAACTATGGGTCTCCGACAAATAATCAACATACAATCATTATTCAAACACGAAGAAAAAACTGATCTTTTTCTATTTTATTTTTCCAAACAACTATAATTTTTTTTCAAATGCTTCATTTTATTTTTTGGATGGTAAATAAAACATATGAAGTAGAGACTGAAGATTTTTAGATAGTTTTGAATAAGAGAAACGTTTTAAGAAATGAGTCTAATCAGTCGCTCTAAGCGATTGTCAACACAGAAACCAATTCAAACTTTACGTTTTTTTGAAGTCGCCATTTAACAAAGTAAACAATATTTGATTTTACAGTTTGATTTATGAAATTTTTTGTTAATATTCGACTTCTTCGTAAATGCCATCACTTCAAATTGTTTTAAGAAGGTCAAGTAGAAATAATATTTAAGAAGAAACAAGATTGTATGATCATGCTAATAACAGTCATTGCTACTGTGATTCGTCAGCATTTGTCCTTGTGTTCATTATAGTAGTAGTCTTTCGAATTCTAGAAAATTTCAAATTCAATAAAAACAAGTACAAACTAGATCTGATGGGGATTTATAGTAAAATAACGGTAACAAATATCGATAGTTTATTCATTGTCCGCACTATAGATAATATCATTTTTGAAATTTATGTAGAAAATTAAGTATAGAGTGAAACTCTAAAAAAATATTCTACTCTTTTATGTATTCGTAAATTTCTCAATTACAAATATTTGAGAATACAAATCAGTTAAAGTTTATTTACCTTTTTTCTTTTTGAATGTCATAAGAAAATTTTAGCTTTTCTCATTGACAACACTAGTAGTCATTTCATGCAATAGAAAGAGAAATAACGAAAATTCAATGTGTGATTTCATAGAATAGGACCACAAAAATATAAAAGTGGCATGTAACAGATATCTTATTAGAGAAAAGAAGCATAATAATTATCAGTGGCGTATCCAGCAGGGTAGCAATTGGGCAATTGCCACCCAAACGAAATTTTATTGCTACCTATTTCTTTTTTAGTACAGGCAATTGCCCATCGTAAAAAGATAAGAAAATTTGTGTACAGTTAAAGATTTGAGGACTGTTTTCTTTCAACACATTTGCTTGCGGCGAGATTTAATCAAGTGATTTACAAAAATCAATCTTCAATGTCTTCTAGCTAAAGAA